AGAGAGAGAGAGAGAGAGAGAGAGAGAGATGCTAAATTAAAATCGTAGGGGGAGAGACTCCACGATCTTTGTCTGCTTAATTCAGCAAATGAATATTATTCTTTTCCAAGTGTATATATCCTGCTTCGCGTACAATCTAAATTATGGCAAATTATTAATCGTGATATTTCTCGTTTTTATCATCTGTTAACACGGACGACGCCGGTTGCTACGTGGCGTAAATTTGTGAAACATCAAGCGCCGGCGAGTAAAAGGTTCTTATCGCAATCAAGGCAGTGTTTTAATTAAAATCTCCTTCCCCCGGTTACGCGCCGAAATTAATTTCGCAAATTTCGTTATACGATATCAGAGATAGCCGGGCGATTCCGCGTCTATTTCGCTCGTCTCTCGCCGGGGATCAAAATTTCATAAAAATTAATAGAGCGTAAAGACGCGCTCGCTTATGCAAGCACTCGTGCACTAGACTTGTGTACTTCGCATGGGGAACTCGATCGGATTAAACGATCTCCTCTGTCCTGATTAGTCATCCGGACCAACGACCGGAATCATCTCTCTCGCCAAGGAAGGACTCGTTTTTGACCTGGAACTTCTCTCGTTAAACGTGGCTTGGCGAGCCACGAGCCATTCAACGTCAATGTCCTTTGTCAACGAACAGGATGTATAACAGTACGTTGGTGCAGTTGATAAAATATTCTCTCTCTCTTTTTTTTATCGTCGCTCTCGTTTACGTTTGTCCAATCGAGAACTTCGCGTTGCGTTGCATACTCTTGTAACAGCGTATTTCGAGTATTAAATAACGACTCGATCGAAGGGAATTCCTTTCGAAACGTTTCTTTCGCGCGCGCGCGCGCACGTAAATTCCATCAATTAACGGGACAATCCGGATCTCGTTTCGTTTTCATTTTCATTCGCTTGCCGCACGGAGAGAATTTGATCATCGATCGGCGCGCGTCGCGTCCACAGAATAATAACGTGATATGAACTTTTCGTTTCATTTCATTTCATCCCGGAACGGACGAGTCACGGCGCGGCGCAACGTAGTACACGCTTGCAAATTTTTATAATCGGCCACGTTTCGCAGTTCATTCCCCTCCGTTTACGCTCTTCCGATTTTCCTTCCCGCGGCTGAATTCATCATTTCATTGCGTACCGCAATAAATCTCTCTTTAATTCAACTCGTCGATGCCACCTTTGAAAGTTCAACCGTTCCCTTGGTAGTTTCGATTTATCGGCAACAGCTCGTTTACACGCTTTTTCGTCTTTCTTTATCTCGCGATTATTCTCACTCGTGTTGCACAGCGCATCGATTGCGCTCTGTCGAGCATAATCCTCGTCTTCGCGGAAGCTTTTTAATCGCCGCTCGTCATGAATTTCATCTCCCTCGTGAAAACTTCACCTCTCGAACTTAACTTCCGGGGTAGTTGACGACCGGTAGATTCGCTCGATTGTTTCACGACGACGTTCAAAATCTCTGCGAGACTCGTAAACTCTTCGACACATTCGCGACCGCTGACGCCACGTCTGAATTCACGTTCTTTGCAGGTATTTCAAATTTCTGCAAAACGAGTGAAAAATCTGTCGAGACGGACAATTTACGAAAATTTACTCGCGCGAAATACTTGTGCTGCAAAGCTCTCTCGTGACGTTCTAGTTAGCGTTAGGTCTTTCAGGATTGTACAGACATTTGGCAATGTGGCGCGTTTTGACATCGAGATCGAGACCTGAGGAAGTACCACAGAAACAGATACAACACGCAGAGGAGTTGTTTACGTAAATGTGTACTTTGCAGGCTAGCATCGAGTCTTATGTTTGCATCAGCCGGCCGTAAACGTTCTGTTACCTTTTTTTGTTTCCGGCAGTGCTGCTGATAGCCTCAGCTATGGCGTTTTTCCCTCCCCTCTAACTACCCGTTCGCGTAGTAAGCAAAGTTGCAGCGGGAGAAAGTTCGAAGAAAGGGGAAGAAACAAAACGAATGCAAAGGGGATACATAGAAATAGACGCGGAAGAGAAACCGGGAAACGGGACGGGCGAGATAAAAGTGAAATGTCTGGGAGAAAAGCGGGCGAGGCGGAAAGGAAAGAGTTGAAAAGGGACGCGGAGAGGAACTCTTTGGAACAACACGTTCGGTCGCTTCGTCAATCGATACGCTCGGAGAAACTATTGTAGCCAGATAGGCATCGCCAGCATTGCCACGTTATTAAACTTTACCGCTTCTTCTTCTTCTTCTTCTTCTTCTTCTTCTTTCTTTTTTCTTTTTTTTTTTCTTCGAATAAACCTGGCAATTCGGCTTGGCTACGCGCAACGCAGGAAGACTGAAATTAACTCGGCAAACGTTCGACACGTTCGACGGTTCCTTCTTTCTCTTTCTTTCATCGGTCAATTCGAACTCCTCGAGTCGAGATCGAAGATTTTGAACGGCGGTGTAGGCAACAACGGTTGGGCATTAATCGCGTGCAAATCGAATCACGGAATTTAAACACAGACACGACCATCCCTTCCTCCGTCGAATGGTTGCGATAAACGGATCACGCAGTCGAGTAGACTCGGATGATTAATCAATCGGCTGTTTAGGAAATCGAACGGAAACGGATTTTACGGATGACGATCGGCGTGCAACGCTACCGCGAGTTCATTCAATTGGAAAGGATCGGCTGGTGCGTGAAGAAATTCGCA